GCTATGAAGCAAGGCAGGTTGGTGCTGGTGCCAGGTCTTAGGCCTCTTATTGATATGTTTGGGGCTCCCTGCCCCAGTTGTTGCTTGTTTGAGAGATTTTAACCTGAGAAGGACAGACCATTCATATGCAAAAAGCCACTGCACACAGCTTGGATGGGGTTATAAATTGGATGAGGTGGGGTCTTAGATAATCACCAGGGCTGAACAACCAGAAATGGCTGCTGGTCAGAAATGCAACCGGGAGGTTCTAGCTGCCCAAGTTCCTGCCAAGATTCCAGATAATCCAGTTTCTCCTTATATGTATGTGTGTTCCCCAGAGCCTCTCCTTGGTGCTGGAGCTCAGAGGATCTGGGACCTTGTAAGTTCAGTTCATGGTGCTGACCTTTTAAGAGGAACAGGTGGGTCTCCAACAGCCTCTGTGTCACTGACCCCCAATCCCCACTGGTTTTTACAGCCCACAGCTCTTACTTCTTTTCCCAGCTCTGGGACCCTGGGCTGGGGATCTGGTGTGTGGCTGGAAAACCTTGCTCCTCTGGGTGGCCTCCACAGAGACGATCTCCCTCCCAATTAAAAAAGCAGCACACGTGGGTGCTGGACCAGCCCATTCTGTGCTTCTGCACCTCCTACCAGTCTCAGTGTGCTTTCCTCTTGCTTCTCTAGTTGTAGACTTCCATTCGTCCAGCTTTCCAGCAGTTCTAGGTGATGGTTGTTCTGTATTTCATTTGTAATTTTGATGTGGTTGTGGGAGGCAGCAAGTATAGGCATTTACCTACTCTGCCATCTTCTGAAAGTGATAAAATTCTTATTCAGATAATGATTGAATCCCTTTTCCCTTATAACTTTCCTGGAAGGGACACTTGGGAATTGCAGGCCCAGGATACTGTATTTTTGTCTAAAAGTTGTCATTAATGTTACATCTATTTGATAGACATATCTATTCAGGGAATGAATATTTAGACTCTAAAAAACCCTGGATTCATAAATGTCAAGAAGTGGGATAGACAATTGGTGCAATTTTTCTTTTCATTTTATCCAAATGAAGAGGATTCGTTGGCACCAAGAGTCTTGTATTACAGTTTTTATTTAACAGGTTAAGCAAAATTAACAGGCTAGGAAAAATTAAACCATGCTCTCTATCAATTTTAGAAACTGTCCCAGAAGTCATTCTGCAGCAGCATGTAATACACATGTGCCAGTAATTAATTATGCGTGCCAAACTGCTGCCACAATCCTTCAGTGCGCCTCAGAGAATCTCTGCTTGCCATCCTTCCACTGACTAACTAGCTCATCCTAACTGCATCCTGAATGCCTGTTGCTGCTCATGATGCCACTGCTACTCTGTCTTTTTACCATGCGCAATGCTTCTGAGGTTGCTGCTGGGGTTACCGCTACTATAAAACCTTTAACGAGAGAGGAGTTCTAAGGCTGCAGTAAAAGTGTGTGCGTTCAATGGGGAACTCAGTGCAGGCCCAGAGAACGGTTTTTATTTCATGCCATTAAGGTGGTACCAGGGATGACGAGATCATCCAAATGCTGCTGTAGGCAAATCGAAATATCATTAGGTGACCAGTGGTAAACTTGAACCCAAGTCAATGTGAGCTAACTGTAAAACTTGGCTAAATCAATTAACTTTTGGTGTTTTAGTTTGACTATAAATAATGTAATGTAATTTCTATGATCAAGTTCACAAGACTTGAGAATATGTATATAAAAGTGTTTTGAAAAATACAAAGTGCCATACAAATGTATGGTATTATATCTTTCCTGAAAAATGGTAGAAAGTCATGTTACTTTATGGAAATTTAGAAATTTGGCCACTATATACCTGATTTAATATACATAACTGTATTGATCACTATCTATTTAAAAGGAATGATGTTGAACTTCATTTTAGCTAAAACTGATGGACAACTGATGAATCTCTTCTGAATGTTTATTTTTATAGGATCTCAAATCAAATTATCGAAAGAAATAATAATACAAGAATAAACTATGTTTCATGTACTCATAACTATAAACCTGCTTTGCCCCAACCCTGTATAAATATGGTATATATAAATTTCAGATTTATAATTGTAGGGTTTACTCTCTAAAAGACTATAATATTTAGAAACTAGAGTCTATTGTTTTGCAATTAATGATTTTATTTATTGTTCTAGGCAGCATATTTATTTTACATTTTATCTTTATTATCAAAAGTGTTACAAATGCCCCCTTTTTTCCCCCTATTGTACCACGCCCTCCCCAGACCTTCACCACACTATTGTCTATCCATGGGTTATGGATATATATATACATATATATAAAAGCCTAAGCGACCGGTCAACCACTTGACCGCTCAACTGGTCAACCAGTTGCTATTATGCACACTGACCACCAGGGGGAAGACACTCAACGCAGCAGCTGCCCCCTGGTGATCAGTGTGCTCCCACAGCCAACCTTCCGCAGTCCCTTCTCCCTCCACACCCCCACCCCTGCCGGACAACCTCCCGTGGTCCCTCCACCTGGCCGGCCAGCCCTGATCAGCCCCAATTGCCGGCCAGGCCAAGGGATCCCACCCGTGCACAAATTTGTGCACTGGGCCTCTAGTATACATATAAGTTCTTTGGTTAATCTCTTCCTGTCCACCCCCTTCCCTCTGAAATTCATCAGTTTGTTGCATTAAATCAAGAGATACAATCAATAATTTTATTAGGATGAATGAAATTTGAGAATTACATATTGTAAAAGAGTTTCAGAATATTTTCTGAATAAATATTCAGAAAACTCACAATACACATGATTTATTGAAAAAAAATTACCACAAAACCTTAAAGCATAAAGAATTATTTTAAAAGAGGGTAGGTTCTCACTTCTTCATTAATGCATCATCAAGCATCTTTCCAGTGAAACAACAGAATGGCTTTCCTTCAATGGCTTAATGATGGGCTCCTCCAGAGAAAACACGAGATGCTGGTACAAAGTTTGTGTTTCTAAATGTGTTCCCATTGCTCCAAACACCCTCCCCCAGTTTTAAAATAAAAATCAAAAATATACTAAAAATTACTCATTATACTCTCAAGTTCAGAGAAAAGCAGCCTCAGAAATTGAATGGGAAGTCGTGGGGAAAACACTAAAGAGTAGAAGTCCAAAAACTGCTAGTGAATCTCAGGAGAGTCAGAGAAGAGGAAGCTGCATTACCCTCTGCCAGACACAGACTAATTCTGGGTTTTGTACAGCTCAAGTCCTCAGAAGCATGGTAAAAACCTGGATGAGTTGTGTGGGTTCTAGTAAAGGACATTTAGGAAGATCTCAAAAGAGTGATTTTCAACCATTTTTATGATATTATTTGCTACTTGTATTTTATTATTAAATCTTTAATACTATTGCTTTATCCAATAGATGATGTAAAAAGTACTAATTATAATCACAAAGGAAACAATTGATAAATTAACCTACACTACAATTAAGAACATATGTTCATCAAAACTCACCCTTAAGATTAACAAGACAGTCTACAGAATTGGAGAAGTTATTTTCAATAGGTATGTTTTACAAAGAGCTTATATCCTATATACATACATATGTATGAATATAGATATAGATATCAGATCTATACTTTGATATAACTCTACAATCAATAAGAGGGGAAACAGAAATATGAGCAAGAAATATAAACTGACACTTCACAAAAGGGGATACCAAAATAGTCACTAAACATGAAAATATGTTCAACTTCCCTAATGTGAAGAAAATTAAAGCTACAATAAACACAGAATAGTTAAAATCTACAAGGTGACCATCCAAGTGATGGTAAGAAGATGGAGCAGCTATAACTCTTATATATTAATATGCTGCTGGTAAAAAGTTAAATCGGAACATCATTTTAGAAAACTGGCAATAGCTATTAATTAATTATATTCATACTCACCGAATAATTCAACTCCTAGTTATATACACAACAGAAGGACATGCACTTCAATCCAAGAGACACATACAAGGTTGTCATAGCAGTATTATGAATAATAACCAAAAACTGGGAGGGGGATGGCCATCTATAGAAAAAGGAATAACTGAATTGTGAATATTTGTTTAATAGAATATTAAAGCAATAAAAAATTAATAAACTTTAGCATGAATGCTGTCTCCCCAACATAATATTGAGCAAAACCAACTAGACAGAAAAGAATATATACAGTATGATCCACTAATATGAAGATTAAAATGAAGCAAAAGTAATTCTGTTAAACATCAGGATTGTGGTTACTATTAGTGGAGGAAAGAAAGTAGTGATTGATAGGACTTCAGACAATGTAAATAATGTTCTTTTTCTGTAATTGGTGGTATTTAAATGAGCAGGTTCATTTTGTGATCATTCACTGAGTTATATATGCTTAAAATTTGTGATTTTTCTATATGAGTTATACTCCAATCAAGAATATTTATAATAGAAATGTATGTACTTACATGGAAAGATGTCCAAAATGTACTGTTAAGTGAAAGAGAAAGATGAATAAAACTATTTATTACATTATTTAATTAGTTTTAAAAATAAAATCAGGCTATAAAAATATTTGTATGTATGTGTACATAATAGAAAAAATAGTGAGGTGAAGAGTGGGCTGAAGGAAGGGAGATTGTTTTTTCTTTATAATTTACTATTTCTTTTTTATGAAATACATTAAAATTGAACTATAAATAATAAGAAGTCAAAGTATTCAATACTCAGTAGTATGAGGAAACTGAGGTTCAAAATAAAGTAATCTGTCTATCGGTAAACAGAGTCGGACATTAATCTCACGTCAAGTTAATGCTGTTAACATCATGCCATTTTCAGCCCATGGAAAATGTATATTTCTAATATAGGGCTATTACATTGCATAATTACCTAATAACACTCCTATGATTCACCAATCATAACCCCCTGAAACAAAACAATTGTCTGTGAATGAATTAATGATTGTTATTGAATATAATAAATCTACATTTCTCACTAATTTAATGTAATTTTGTTCCTAAAGGTAGTGAGAAGAATTTTGGATAACAGTTTCTTCATTTATTTCTTGTGGAAGGAAGGCCCACAGTTAAATATGGATGTGGAAGTTCCCCAAATAGCTTGACTCTCTCTGCTAATTATAGAACTAACACAAATGCATTCATCCCTATCACCATACGGTAAGTGCTCCACAGTCGTTTTTTAAACTGTAGTGCTGAGCCTTATTTTTTAAGTGGTATTTATATGGATAACAGTCACCCAAATACAGAAAGACAAAAGGTTTCATCTGAAATTGTTTTGGTAACCTTTTTTTTTTTTCAGTTTGGTGGAGGACTAGTGGGCATCTAATCCTGTCCAAAGGGTTGTTGAACGTTGGTCCTATCTAAAACATGCATAGTTTGTATAAACCCTCTTTTCTGCATGTCCCTAACCCCAACCCATCTCCCTAACCCATGTGCCATTACCAGTTAGATACCTGTTACTGAGGCAAGAAGGGTTATTGTTGGTTAAGTACAGCCACGATATAGGTATTGGACTAATAAAACATGGTAATATTTTTCAATATATTAGTCCTATGAACCACAAGTATGCATAAATATTATGGGCTATTTGAATCAAGGACCATTTGGCCTGGACCATATGTCTCATCTCAGTGGATGTTTTAGACAAGACCAAATGGTAGTGGAGTAAACGCCCTAGCGGTTCGGCTCAGTGGAGTAAACTACAAATTAAACTAAGATTTAATTTGACACAATCCAATTGTACACAAAAGGAATCAATTGTTTTCAGAATATAATGGAACAAATAAATAGTCTGGTTGTTCAGGTAAAGCTAAGGTATAGTTCAATTGTTTAACAAAATATCTATTGAGTGAAAAGAGTACAGCTGCATTGACTGCACAGAAAAGGGACAAACTGAATATTAAATGGAAATATCTTTCTGGAACAAATAAAGTTTTGAAAATCAATCTTAAAATTAGTTCATGCTTCAGAATAAGGGAATCTCAGGAGAGAGAAATGGCTAAAAGCAATGGTTATATCCCAAGGGTATTATTGAACAAAATTTTCACATACCAACCAAGAATTTAAAATTTTTCATCAGTGCAGCAATCTAGCAATTATGGTCTCTAAAGTTACTCTCAGTTAAAAATAATATTTTGTGTCTGAGTTTGCATGCTATATGATGGTTGGATAAGTTAGTCTGATCAGCAGGAATCTTGGCTAACCTATGAAGGTGGTATAAATCAAATAAACTTCCAGGGTCTGCATCAATCTGAAAATGAAATCAAGGGAATTGACAAAAATCTGAAAATGGAAACTCCTTAAAAGCAGGGAGAGTATTTTACTCATTTTTAATGTACTTAGCCAAGGCATCAGATGGAAAGTTGCTCAGTAAATGTCTGAATAAAGAGATGAGGTATCTAGGCTGAGCAATTCAGTTGATTATGACAAGACAGCAATGAAATTACCCTAAAGTACAGAAATTACTATTCATAAATTAAGCATACACTTTTAGAACACTGAGTTCTGTATGGATAAAATAAATTTTCAGAGCAATGGGCTTACTCCAATTTCAATCATCTCTTACAAAGGTTAGCAGTTGATACCAACAACAACAAAAAAGAGGCAAATGAGAAGTTGAATAACAATTTAAAAGGGATTTCTATTGATAATGTCATCCTTTTAGATAATACAATCATTTTAAACAAACAATGGCACATATTTAAAATAAAATTAGGAGTAACCCATAGACACAGACAATAGTGTGGTGAAGGCCCGGGGGAGGGAGGGAGCATGTGGAGAGGGTCAGTGGGGGTATAACGGAACATCTGTAATACTTCCAACAATAAAAAATAAATTTAAAAAGTAAAAAAAATAAAATTAGAAGTAAAATTGTGACTGATTAATACCAGAGTGAAAAGAGAGGTGTCAAAAATGAATATTTATTTTCTGTTGTGCAATGTATAGAAGATTTTATTGTTGAGATAACAAGCAATGAAAGAAGATTTGATAGAGAAGATTGTGAGTTCAGGCTTGAGCATAATGAGATTAAGGTGCCTATAAAACATAAAATGGAGTTTGAAAGTTGAATATATGGATATAGACCTCAGAGAAGAGGTCTAGATTGGAGATATAAATTTATGAGTCATCAGTGTGCAGATGGTCATTGAAATCACAGGTGTGAATGAAAGTATAGAGTGAGTAGAAAAAATTGCCTGGACCGAGTCTTGAGGAGCTAGCATTTAATGACTGAGTAGAGGAAGATGAAACTATAAAAGAATCTCAGGAGTAACTAGAACAGTAGGAGGCAAAGAAAAGGAGTGGGGAGTCTGGGAAGGGAATGGAAAGGTTTGTCAGATGCTCTGATAGTCCATTGGACTATCCACAAGATCCCATAGCCTAAAGAATTCATTGTACGAGGATAGCGTAAGAAACCAGATTGGAGAAACTTGAAATAACAAGAGTAGACCACTCTTTCAAAAAGTTTAACTGTGAAGGTGTAAAAAGAGGTAAGATGGTAACTAGAGGGAGGTGATGAGTTAAGAGGGGGAAAATGTAAGATGACGGAGATTTAATCATGTTTAATTGTCAATCAGAAGGTGTTGATGCCTAGAAAAATAGAGTAATTGAGTACTTAAGTCACTTAGAAGTTTGGAGCAACAACATACAATATACATGAGAAAATATTCCTTCCAGAGGGTAGGAAATAGAGAAAGACACACACATTGAGACTTCTGTCTTTGTGTACATCCTTTGATGTATGACTGCCTTTTGCTCTATCCCTATCTGTCCAGTTGTTATGTCACCTTCTCTCTCTGCCTTGTGTACTCCAGTCTTACTTCTCCATCCTTAACTGGGCATAGTTTAAAACTAACGGGTCTTTTTGTACAGTTCATCCTAGCTATCCTAATTCTCACTAACAGGACTCTTTCTATACAAATTCCTAATAAAGTTTACCCTAAAAAGCATGTGAATTAGGTTATTTTTAATTGTATGAATGTTGATGTCCTTTCTCTTATATTTAAGGGTTCTTAACAATAAAATACTATCCCCTGGTTAAGAACTTATTTTTTAATTAATAAAATGAGCTCTAAGGTAAACATGTAAAAGATGCTTTGAATTTTATTTTGCTATTAGCCCTGGAGAATAAACATGTCAGTATTTCTTCATACTAAATCTGCATTACAGCTGTAGGATAGGTAACAGAAGTAGAACAAACTCAAATAAGCCACTTGTAGTGATTGAGGTCAATTCAGTACCAAGATAGAAGTTCGTCTTAAATGAAATGGAGCAGAGATCACAGTTCTGCAGATACATTGTAATTCATACTCATGCACAGTTTGTCTTTCATTTCAAAAAAATTTTGAAAGAGATTACACAGAGAGCCTTGGTTTTCACAAGGGTTATTCTCCTTTGGGGAAGTTCAGAAAAATTGTCACACACTATATATACAGTCTTTAAAGTTTCTCAAGTTTAAATTTTTCGGACACTTTTTGTATCTGCCCTATAGAAAAACTGTCTCTTTATCTAGTATTTTGTTCTCTAAAGAAGTGTTCTTTCCTCAAGGTAATTTACTGTGTTATCTGCATGTTTAAAAGCCACATAGCCTATTCTACCTTCATTGTATTCTACCACCTCAAACATCTGACACCATTTTCTAAAAGATTTATCCAGAGGTGTAAAGTTAGCCATGCATATATCTAAGGTACACTCTAATATCTAATCATTAATTTTGGTTAACAAGCTCTGAGGGTATCCAAAGCCCAGTGGATGTTGGCCAAGAATTGCATGACTGCAGAACATGTCCCTATCAGCCACTTTGTAGTAGCAGGTCAGTGTAAAGAAATGCCTGCTTGGTTTAAGACCAATTGAACAAAAGCTGGAAATGTTTCTAATAGTTGGGCAGCAAGAAGCCTAGCACTTGAGAAAACTCAAACAAACCAGGTAAAACCATTGCAAGCATTTTTGTCACATTACCTTCTTATATATTTGGCCCAGAATAAAAAACAAACTAAAAAAAGTTGCTGCTGAGTTTTGTAAATGGGATCATTTCTACCTCCTGTTTTATCTTATTTATTATTTCCCACAGTTGTTTGATGAAGAAAGTACATTAAAAATTTATTAGAATGCCCTAACCAGTTTTGCTCAGTGGATAGAGCGTCAGCCTGCAGACTGAAGGGTCCCAGGTTTGATTCCAGTCAAGGGCATGTACCTTGGTTGTGGGCATATCCCCAGTAGGGGGTGTGCAGGAGGCAGCTGATCGATGTTTCTAACTCTCTATCCCTCTCCCTTCCTCTCTATAAAAAAAAATCAATAAAATATATTTTTTTAAAAATTTATTAGAATGCAAAACCAGCATTAACCTCAAAAGAATAGGAAATAAAAAAGGATTCTGAGTAGGATTGATTTTGGTATATCAAATGAAGAGATTTACTAGTGAATAATTTATAAAAAATAAGAAAGGAACAAAATAAAACTACTTATAATAAACATATTTAATTTGTCAAAGACCTTTCAAACAGCTCTCCTCAAAATCAGATTCTATTGCTTTGCCATTTTCCCACTTTAATTCTTTGTACTACAACTTGCTGCCTGCTGGTATTGACTAATAACTCCACCTAGAGAATGAGCAGGAGACTCACCCCAGTTTATGTAAGAAGAAAGAATGTCCATAGTGTATTATCAACATAGCTTTGAGAATAATTCAGAAAGTCCTTTGCGTTTCTGATTTTCTAAAATATATAAAAGCTTCTCACATATTTCTGATAGTCAATGTTATATGGATTGCCTGCTTTTAGTCTTAGAGCCAAGAAACTATGTAATAGCGAGAACTTTCACTTTTTGAAACAGATGGTGACTTTTGAACTGTGCTAAATCTAAAAGATATTAGATTTATTCCTAAAACGTTGCCATGTCAATATGGAAAGTTTGGCAAGCTTTTCATCTTAAAAAGGTCAAACCATTACTTCAATATTAATTTCTGTATCATTTCCATCAACTCCTCCATCTGGTATTTCTTAGAGGAAATGTAGGAAAACTAGAGCTCAATATGGGAAATACAGATAATACTTTGTTATTAAATTGACATGTATGTAAATACATAAATCTAAACATTGCTCTTGCTCCTTAATCCATACATATTATACTATTCATACATACATAACATGTCTATACATAAC